CAGTCTATTTTTCAAAATTTTCTGGGGGAGGACTCCCTACTTTGACGCCCGTGAGTGGGCTTCGTCGTGATTCGCAAGTCCGTTCGTTTGACACTTTACCTCATCGATCAGCGCCTGAAATACTTCCAGGCTGCATTTCCGGCAACCTGTTTTTCAAAATTTTCTGGAGAGGCCCCCTACCCCTAGTTGAAGCTCGTGCCTTTGCCCCCTTAACCTTGGACTTTGCCCCAGCTTTGTCCCTCCTATCACCGACGGCTGACGCCGCCACTGCTTGTACTGTAGTGTAATATCATAAGAGAGATCCACTTATTTATTGCAGGCGATACCAGGCGCTTATGTGATAGAGAAATGTTGTAACTCCACCTAACTAACTTGTCTTGTTATTAACAAGATCATCTTGACATGTCACGGCCAATGACATGTCTAAAAAGCCACAGATATATAGACTATAATAAAGTTTCAGTATCATACGGTCTGTCATTGAGTCAACTGGCGGGGTTTCGATTCCCCGGTTGTACGTGCCAAGGAGTATGGTCGCCCGTAGAACCTCGTGAGATTTCTCCGGGTCATCCGGTTTCCTCCCACTGCTAAAGACTCCTACGCGCATGCGACTTATTGAAATAAAAATTGAAGCATGTGTTAGCCCCGAAATGACCTAGATTGTGTCGAGTGGACGTGACTCCCCCCTCTCTCTCTTTCGCCCCCCCCCCCTCTCTATTATCTGGAATTCATATTGGAGCACATATAATGTGAATTGTTTCGGGCAATTCATTACTGCTCCCATCACTTCCCATAAAATTTATCGGGCTCACACGCTTATGTTTATAGCTTTATACGTTTTGAAATATTTGTTTTAAGTATTTGATTAGAGGGTTGGGTGGGGTGATTTTCGTTTGAACACAAGTAAAAAACCCATTTTATTTCTTTTGATATATTATACGTTGTGAATAAAATTTAGTAGAAACCTGTCGATTGAGAAATAAAGCTTATGGCAAGTCGTTTATTTTAACTGAGATTTCTACTGACAGTCCTGTTATAATAATCAGGGGCCTGTTTCACGAAATTTAAACTAAAATAAAAATCCAGATTTTAGTAATTTGATTGGATAATATTAGATTGATTTTAGTGCTTAACCAATCAAAGTTGAAGTGTCTACTAAAATTTGGATTTTATCTTTAGTTAAAATTTCGTGAAACAGGGCCCAGGTATCGCGGTTTCACTCAGTACCCCATACTCATTGCAGTGTTTCGTTTGATTAGACCTGATCCCACTCAACACTGCCGGACTCACCTCAAATTTCTGACCCAACAACCAATACTTCACAGCTTAACAAAACCAATCGGCATTAAACAGAGCTCAAAATATGTTAACATGAATTTTTTTAATGTCAATCGCGGCTATATTACGTTATAACGCTTGAAATTTATTACGCTCAATTAACCAGTGCATGGCAGAATATTGTAGAAAAACTAATTGTGTGACAAAAGAGGCTATCAATATCTTTTAATACATTTAATCAACTGTCCAATGTTTCTAGAGAAGACCCGAGGTCAAAGAGAACCACTGTCATGTTACTTATTGTGCTTCCACAAACTGAATAGAAATACGACTTCCAGTTTTTTGTTATGTGTTTTTAGATACAATAAACTATTCACTGATTTTCTTCATAAATATTGATAAATATTGTTGAATACTTAAGATGCACATGTTGGCAGTGATAATTAATGTTGGTACAAACACAAAGGTATATATAATATATTTCTGAGATTTAAGTCAGAAGAAAATTTCGTTCATATAGCGAGTTTCAGCGACTGCAAAATTTACCGATGCGATCATCGATGTTTGTTCCCGATGCATTCAGGTGAAATGTTTTTCTTGAAATCAGCACTAACAACCACCGCGGTTGTCAGTCATGAAAATTCCCTTAATTCTACTGTACTCAGGAGATATTTGATTGGACGATAAGAATAGACGCAAGTCGTCAAAACCAAGTTTTCAATACCAGTACGGCAATAACTAGAGATGGATTACTCGGGATATTGCTTCAGGAATATGTCAGTACACTGTTTGGCTAAGTTACAAGGAGGTACAGAGTCAAATGAAATATTGAATATTAAATCATATGAAATCCTATGAATCATATGATACACGTATATCCATATCGGGAGTTCATAAATCATTAATCCCATATATTACGTTCCGCCTGTCACATATCTTTACTGTGTATGGGAGTTCTATACATTTGTAGAGTCCAGTGGTCTAACGCGAGGGCTTTAGGTCGTAAGGTCTGTCATTCAGTGGAGTGGTTATAATCCCACACGTGTACGTAGCGTCGCATGCCTGACCTTGTGTGTTTTCTCCCCCCCCCTACATATTGTACCCTGTGGTTAGTCTAGAAATGACCTAGTTTGTGACTTAAAAAGGGTAAGCATACCCTGCATCCCGACTGGAAAAATTGGGCAATGAACAGAAATTAAAAGCATTTGAAAGTGTCGGTTTTCACCCCTGATAATCATTTGTGGGTTGCGCAAGGGACTCCTTGATTAATAAAGAAGAAATTCTATACTTGGATTAATTAATGCTCTTGGCAAATTTACTCGAATATATCTTCTAATTATCTAAACTAATTAGCTAATAAGTAAATAATGTGTGGATGATATATGATAATTAACTTGGCTAAAATAATTTCAATATCAAGTTAGTAAACATGTTAGTATAATACTCAATACTCATATGATTTATAAGTTTCTCAAAAGGGGGGGGGGGGGTGTGTGCAAAATTTGAAAGGTTCTGAGCCAATAGTTATATATCGTGCTTTGTCAGAGTTCAGTTTAAGAAAGTTTTTAGTTATCCATACTCTAATGCTGTCAAGACAACGTTCCAGTTGCCATTGTTTTGTCTGGAATAACACTATTACAGAAAGAACGATCAGCCCTTTCTCTAAATTTCGCACAATGCCTCTTTAATTGTATACGCCAGATGGGAGGGGGTCATTATCCCAGCAAAAACTATGTGTGGGGTTATACAAATAAGCTCGTCTATCTAAAATATATCTTCAATCAACTACGTTTGGGTCTAATACAAACTTATTAACATGTCAAGCACGACAAAGTTCTAATTAAAAATTAATTACATGTTAATATATTAGATCTGCTTGGACCAGTTTGGAATGATACAAAAGCGGTCGAACATGCAATTACAAGTTTTTAAATTAAACCTGCTTGGACCAGTTTGAAATGATACATAAAAGGCCGAACATGCAATTTAAATTGTTCACTCTTGGGTTGGTAAGTATAATAGGAGTTCCATATGTTATGTGTGTATATTTCACTCTATATGCGCAAATATAATGATAACTTATACAAAAGCAATTTATAAAAGTTTGAAATAACTAGTTTGGGGGTGAACATAAATGTATGGAACCATAAGTGAATAAGCGGGCTGCAAAGTTTTATATGTATTGAACCTCATGTAATTAGAAGGGCTGTAGATGTATAGAATACCATGTGACTGGACGATCTGTAACGTTATAGACGTGTGGGATACTATGCCATTAGAAGGTCTGTAAGTTTATAGATGTATGGAACCCCCATGCGATTAGAATTTTATAGATGTATGGGATGATATGCGATTAGAAGGGATGTAATGTAATAGATGCATGATGCGATTAGAAGGGCTGTAAGGTTAGAGTTTTATGGGATGGTATGCGATTAGACGGGCTGTAACGTTATAGATGTGTGGGATACTATACGATTAGAAGACCTGTAACGTTATAGATGTATGGGATAATATATGCGATTAGAAGACCTGTATAACACTTTTGTATTTGAGCGATGAATCGACAGTTTGGGATGCAGGTGTTAAGCATCCACATTTTTTGTACGACATGAGAAATGTTCATGATAAAGGTACAAAACTCCTTGAATTATTCTACTTTAAACAGTGCACACGTTTTATGGATTATCCAGCGAGTCACCTGCCTTAGTGCAGTACAATGAGGCTGGTTATTAAATAATGCAACCACAAAAAAAGCTAAAAGCTGTCCCCTATTTCGTAGAAACATCTGCTCGGCGTAGAATGAAATGTTTTTACATCAAAGCTATACAATCTGTCTATAAATAATATTACTGACAGCTGAAGATGCACGAACGCCTTCAATTAGTATACGCTTTTTGCATATCGATAAATATGGATTTAAAAACAGATGTGGCGCAATATTAACATATTGATTAATGTCTCGCACTCGACCATTAAACTACACTTATTGCTCAATATCGAGAATTTCAAACAACTTAAAATACATATTACACTATCATACACCTTGACATCAACATGAAGCCATCATAATGTATCATAAAAGCGTGTCAATACCATTATTTTTCAGGTTGAGGGGGGCTATAGACAATGGTGATTTGTGGTGCATGTCTGGACTCAAATATAGCATTCAATTTCATCAAAAACACCAACATTACATACAGCTCAAATTTACATGTTTTCTAGAAACAGCATAATAAGTGAATTTTACTATTATTGGGGGAGGGTGCTGGGGCACAGTCTCGTAGTGACATAATAAACTCAAACTTAAACGTTTCATAGACGCAGCATAATAAGTTTGGAGCCATGGTAGCTAAGTGAGTAAGACGCTTCCTCGCTAGCCTGGAGGATGCGGGTTCGCTCCCGGTGTTGGCCGAGAAAGTTCATCGGGATTTTCCCGCGATTTCCCCTTGTCAGTGGTGGGACGGGGGGCCTGACAAGGTCCCGTGTACACATAGAAATTCGATGAAAGACTAGAGTAGTCCGTAACGCCGCTGTCCTGGCAAAATTTTCCTCATAGCACACTGTGTGCCCAGTCGGAGCAGAACAGTAGGACGTTTAACCTCATTTCATCTGCTGTGACATACAGAGCGAGATACTAGATACCTACATAATATATCCAGAGGAATGTCATTATCGATTGTAATATAGTATATAGATTAATCTATACTATTTATACACCTTGCTTTGTTGCATATGACCCTTGATGGCATACACAATTAATATTTTCCTGTGGGCGTATGTTTCCTTGTCTGACCACCCAGCCTTTTCACTTTTAAAACCTCTGATCTTTAACCAACGGCAAAGGAAGACGTCCAAAGTACCAACAGCGTCTCTTAATTGGTGGGTTTGTTTGCTTCTTTGGGTTTTTTTATTATTATTTTTGGTTTATTACGGTCCACCCGCTTTCTAGAAATACGGGGCGGTAACTAATATGACGTAATGTATTCTTTGATTTGTTTTCGTATTGTCTTGGTGACATTGAGGTAATCATTGTATTTGTGCAATGTTACCTTCCAGTATTCATTAAATACATGTGTTTTTGAATGCGTACATTCATTCATAGGGATTTGTTTATTACGGTAACAGTTCATACAATAGGCCTAGTTACGAAAATGTATCAAGAGTCCTATGGATCTAAAGTGGTGACCTAGATTGATCTGGTGTACTATTGCGATTAGTGATGAGAAAAGGTATATAGGACAAAAATTGTTTCGAAAGATTAAGCGGAAGTCGGTTTGCTTATATTTAATTTATTTTTATTTTTGGCTGAACACACAGGGACACACAATCAATTGGAACTCAATTCTACGCGAAGTTATGAATGTTTGAATCGACAAGAAATAGTTTAAATTTGACACTTCAAGGAAGGGTTTTTGAAAATTGCCGTGTGCTGGTTTATCCTATCCATGTTTGCTTTCCTATCGGTTCTTGCATAAGATTTACTGTTAAGCGTATCTTTGCTTTAGTGTGTTACGTTTCATTTGCAATGATACGTCTTCAACACGATGAACGTCTACGTGCTATTAGCATGCGTCAAATGGGTTCTACACAGAGACCAGTAGCCAACATGCTTAATGTGTTACAGTCTGTGATCAGCAGACTGTGGAACCGGTACCAACAAACACACAATATTGATGATAGACCTCGTTCTGTTCGTCCTATATATATACAGCCACTACATAAGCCCAGGGTCGATACATACGTACACAGGTCCTGTGAAATCGAGGAAAAACGGCCAATCACCTTTCTGTAAACTTGGAGGCGTGTAAATGATCGTCATGCTAACGTTAACGTCAGACAGCATGACAGATTCGGGTGTGGGTCTGTTATGGTGTGGGGAGGAATCACCATGACTGGCAGAACGGACTTGCATATTGTTCAAGGAAGGGTCACTGGTGTGTACTACCGTGGCACCAATGTCCGATAGTTCTGCCCTTGCTCAACGTGCAGGTCGACGTTTCATCTTTCAAGATGATAATTCCCGTGCCCACCGCGCTAGTGTCGTGAATGACTATCCCCAGCGTCACCATATTGTCCATATACCTTGGCCAGCCATGAGTCCTGACCGTTCCCCTATAGAGCATGTCTGGGACATGATCGGGAGACGTGTTCGTCGACGTCAACGTCAACCGACAACACTGCAAGAATTGGCCGTGGCACTGCAAGAGGAGTGGCTCAGATTGCCGCAAATCGTGATTGGACGGTTGATTAGCGGCATGCCACGACGAATTGCTGAATGTCTGAGGATTGGTGGAGCAATTACTCATTATTAAGACAAAAATCAAAAACGTCCATTTTCACTTTTGACAGTGTATCTCTTTGCGAGTGAAATGGGGCCGTCAGATAAGTCGCCCATGTGAACTGTTATGTTCATGTGTGGGCAATTGGCCCGTTATTAACATACACTGGTTACCTCTAATAAAAACAGCAGTGCATTTCAGCAGTTTTGTATTGTTTCTGAATATCCCCTACTTTTTTTGAAGAGTATATAAATATTTAGGTTGCAATAATTTACGTATTTAATAAATAAATGAATACATAATACATAATGCATTGTCACACATTATGTGTCAAGCTTATTTCCGTGATGGTCCTGGGAAATGTCATGACCACATGATAAATGGCAGACACCTCTATACACGTATGCTGAAAGGCAATGACAGGAAAATGGTAGTTTTAAAAAGGTTATTTTAAAAACATAATAATATGTTAAAAAAAAAATTAGAATGATTTCCGGCCATAATTGACCTACGAGACACGACTACATAAAACATATTTAACTCTTTTAGTTCAACAAAATATACTTTTCACTTAAAACTCAAACTTCAGCGCATATTCGAACGTTTTGTTTTGTCCGGGTTACATAAAAGTTTTCAGAGATTAAATCATCTTAGACAAGTAATTTCCCAAGCTTTGTTAAATCGAGTCACAATTCATTATGAACGTGAATCTTTGATCACAGTTCATTTCATTGATAGTATGATCTAATTTATTGATTTCCGATGTTAGATCATATCTAATATCACTATATGTCGGACACACTAAAAGAGTGTGTTTTTCATTTTTTTTTACGGCATTTAAATTACAGAAAACATATTTTCCTTCGCATAACGGTAATGGGGGTCTGGAATACCTGCCGGTTTCGATGGCTATGGGGAGAGAACCTGTGTTATCGGGGGATATTGGGGTGCGTCATAATATAATGTTCCGTGCGTGGTGTTTGTTTAAACAATAATTTAAAAGTATACACACTGAGAAGAACCGCTTTTAACTAAAATTTTGAATAAAAAGGATGTAATTGCTTTTGTTATAATTTACCAGTTGGTCAATACATTTGACAATTTGATTAAAACACAGATCCAATTTCGTTTCGTTTTTATAGTTCAAAATTTTGATTTTACGTGCCTTTACTACACTTGGATCTGGAAGCGTTGTTATTTAACTCGTGTTCTGTTTGAAATGACGGGTCAGCCAATCAAATGGTCTGTCGAATCGAGCGTTTGACCTTTTTTGCGCGGAACTGTGGGTAGACATTGGCGGCAATAGAAATCAAAACAAAACAAAAGTAGATAAAAAAAAATACATGGCGGTCGCTAATTGGTTAATCGAATGACTGACGTAATCGGGTCAAATGTCGCTTGCTTGGTACCTGACGTCATAGAACGTGAACATAAAAAACGAAACGAAATATAGATCTATATTTTAATTAGATTGTACATTTGATATCATAAGGAAGACATTAGTTACCTTTAATGACAAGTATTTATGAACATCGTTGCTGAACGTTAAGTTGTCTGTCAAGTACATAGGGTTCAGGCTGTTTACTATGCGAAAATACTGGTTTAAATTTACTTGTTTTACCTTTAAGTGGACCGGGAACCAACCAACTTCAAGGAATTCATCACAGCCAACATGGGGGGGGGGGGTACTTAAGATTTGAAATAAGTTGACTGAAGCTTCTTTTGGGTTATTTCGGACAGACTTGGATACCAGAAAGAGCAGGCATAATCGAAATGGCAATTTTTAGCATGCAAAGACAATAGATTACTCTTTCTATACAGGTATTAACCCTTAGGGCACCCCACATGATATATTTATTTTAGTAAACCGTCTGAAGCCTACCAAGTAAGAGTGAAACCATCCAACTGACATTTTGTCCATACCCATTGCTACTAGTTTATCTATTAAAATATGTTATAAGATATCAAAATCATTGTCGTTCTTGTTACAATACATTCACAAACAATGTTTTCTAAATGTCGTCGTAATAATATACACGACCCTTTTATTATAAAATATAAAGTTCTCCGGGAATGAACTGTGTGGTTGAAGACGTAAGCTCTCCAAATAGTCAATGCGTGTTGTAAATATTTCCCTTTAGCTAATATTAGCTTACTTCGTAAATAATAGATAATCCATTTATTAAGCCTTCATAAATTATCGATAGCCTCTATAGGTTTCGAAAATGTGCGTATTCCCTGGGAACTATAATATCCAAGAATAGGAAGTCCACTTATTACTACATGTATAATTTGGCGTTTGCATTTCGTCTGATGGAAAGTGAACTAATCGTTTAGAAATACATTATGACGTGTGTTGTGCACAGGGCAGGGCCGGATAAAGCTTGCATGGAGCCCCTGGGTGAAGATATTACTGGGGCCCATATTCTGATCATTGCCCTTCACACTCACAGAAATGCATTTTGTCTTGTAGGTAGAAAGATTTATTTGGCACAAACATATGCAACATAATAAATTAAATCATAAATTATGTTTTTAGAACTAAATCCGGGCCCGGGACAAGGTATACTTATTGCTTGAAAACAGATTATACCAGATATGATCTCTGTCAGATTTAGATTTAGAGTTTACTAGAAAATGCTTACCTTTGAAATAAGGAAATAATATAATATTACCCCACTTTTCCCGGGGAATTTTCAAACAGGTAATATTTACTCAAATTACTGTCCACAAGAAGAAAGGGGGAGAAGAAACCGCGAGCAGTGGTTAGTCACCGTACGGTGGTAGCACCACGGAGTAACAACAGGGTTAATTAAAGCCGATTTATATTAATACCCAAATAAAAATATGCTCAGATGTTCAGAAGATATTCATCTAAAACATCAAAGTCGGGTATGTTAAAACATTATTATGGAAACAGATACATTGGTTGTATTTAAGTATCATATTTGACCAGTTTCAGACCTATTATTGTTGTCCGAGAAAGCTCCTCGGGATTTTCAGCGTGGCTTCTCCTTGTACACAGCACGTCTTAATTATCCCGGTTGGTGCACACATTTCGTTTCATTCCATCCCATTATATAAATCATTACGTAATTATGACTTTCGAACATCAATATAGACAGGGGTATAACATCAGAGGGATCACATCGGCCCGCGCGGGTAATAAAGTTTAAGGGCATTATAGCGACAGTTCATTTGTGATCATATGCAGATGACCATTTCATTTGTGTTATTTAATTTGGTTACCCCTTCCATAATTTCACGATTTTCTACTCATTCTTTGAAATTAGTTATTCGTAGGCGATTTTTTTAGAATGGGATAGTTGGCTTATTTGTAAAACAACCCATTGCCTGTCGTATCTATGTTAGGTTCAAGGCCGTAGACCTAGTTGATTAAATTACGTTTATAATGTAAACAATGTTTAGAAGAACACTGCGTTCTAGAGATATCATTTATAAAAGATAACATGCCACCTTCTAGTCAATCTTCAGAATCGACAAATATAGCTCGACTATAATGTAAAAGTAGGCTCGTGCTTCAGCGTAGGTTTGGTGCCGTGACTAGGATAGTACATCAGTGTTCATTTGGTACTCACA